TCCCTCTATTATTCATCGGAACTCCCGGGTCCCGTGACGTGTCATCGTTCATACGGAATACTAATGCTATATGTAATGTTAAAAATTAAATGTAATATTTTGTACTTAGTCGTGAAGAACTATTTAAAGAACTAGCAGTTTTGTGCCTGCGTAAACTAATCTTATTTGGACTAGACTAGATTAGGCTATATAAACATCAAAAGACAAATAACTTTTCTGTTTTGCTTGACACCATTGTAATTGGAGTAAAGTAAGAATAAATGTAAGTTTATATCGGAGAACTGAACATGCAACCTACGGTCGGGGTTCGAAACTAAGACTATGAACTATTTCATCGAATGATTTTAACATCACAATGACCTGTGACCACTATTATCATGCATTATTAATAGTGATATAAATACCAGTTTTGATGTTTTTTATTTGTAGGAGTCCTCTTAAAACTAACTTTTAGATACTGTATATAAAAGGATTGTTACTTGCGGAATGATTTAACGCTACGTAAATAACCATTTATTTTTAATTTACCTTGTGTTCTTTAATTTTTCCACGCAATTTTTGAGAATTATTTGTATAATATCTAATATCAGTCTGTAATCTGTTTTCATTATATATTATCTACTGTCACTGTCAATCTGTCAATTGTCAATGAAAAAAACCGGGTCGGAAAATCCGGAAAACACATCGCTTTTACAAATAACGAACAGAAAATAAATATGGGTAAGGAAAAATCAAAAAAACGACGACGTTCCACTTCATCATCTGAGAGCAGCTCTAACTCGAGCAGTTCGGAATCCTCTCACGAGAAGAAGAAACTCAAAAAGCTGAAAAAGAAATTGAAAAGGGAACAAAAGAAAACGGAAAAGCTGTTAAAAAAGAAACTCAAAGAAGAGAAGAAAAAACTGAAAAAGAAACGTAGAAGTAACAGCGAGGGCAAAGACTCACAAGCTCAGGAAGCGACGGCGGATATTCCTATCGGTATTATTTTTTTAAGACTTTATTATTATTGGTATTAATTTTGTTAAAATAAAATTTATAATATCGAGAAATTATTGACGAAGTATCAAAAGACTGTAACAGCTGAACATGCCGTTAATATTTAATATGTAATAAGTAATATGTTACAGAATTGATGGAAAAATCAAAAGCCATGGCTCCAATGACCAAAGAGGAATGGGAACAGCGTCAGAGTGTGGTCCGGAGGGTGATGGACGAGGAAACTGGCAGATACAGGTTATCCTATCTTTCTGATTCAAAATTAACACTAATGTATTATATCAAAGGGACAATTTGCAAATATAATAGCAGGTTTATGTCCAACCTTACAAAAACAATAGCTTATGTGATAAACAAAAGTAAATACATAGCTTAAAAAGGCTGCAGTTCTTTCCTTATCTGACTCAATGTGAGTTTAGACAACTATATTTTAAATTATCAATGTAAATTAGTATAAAACCCTATTTGGAGTGGAACTACTTGTATCAGGGGTGTCTTAGGGGTAGGCATAGCTTCCTTCTACTAGAGAATTGATAAATGCAACAAGTCTGAAAGATAAAGATCATAGAAATATGTAATTAATACTATTAAATAGTTATCTGGGCATTTTTTCAATATTATTAAATAAATATACTTTATATGAGTGTACCTTGCTGTCTCTCAGTGTAGTCCTGCTTTTCAGGTTAATAAAAGGTGATGGGGAGGTGATAGAAGAGATAGTGTCTAGAGACAGACACAAACAAATCAACAGACAAGCAACTAATGCAGACGGAAACTTCTTCCAGTCACAGATGTTAGACAAGAAAATGTTATAAATAAAAAAATATATGCTTATTTTTTATCTTAATGAAAAGGTAATTAAAGGTAAGTTGGTAACTGTTTCTTGCTGAAATATGTGTACAAAATAGCAATATCTTTGTTCAGGGATGACTGTTAGTGAGTTTACCGTCTGAAATTGTATCCGATTTGAACTGAGATTTTTTTAGCTGAGATAAGATTTTACGTTTTTTGTATATATCATACTTGTATACTAATATTTATTATTTAAGCACTGAAAGACTTATATCTATGATTCTTATTAAAAAGAAATTAACAGATATGTTATCTTAACAGATATCTTAATGTCCTTGCCTCATGTATAAAATGTACATATAAAATTTAATGTTACTTTCATTTGTAGTACAAATAATTTTATTTAGTTAATGTAATCTATTGTAGGTACAGTTTCTAATTCTGTGTGAGTGAACATTTTCAAGCTCTTTTTGTCATAGATTTGCGAGACTTTCTGACATGTTTCTTCAATTATTTTTTTTGAAAAACCCCACTTTTCCATTTCTCAAGGTCCAATCCATTTTTTATGAAAAAGCAGTAAAAATGCAAATTATAGGCATAAAACTAAGTAATTTTGTAGCATGTAAGTAGAATCCTACATAAGTTATAACGGTAAATATATATCTACTAACATTAGCACAGCAATGAACACATTTATGTTTGATGTTTATAAAAATTATAGTTGTATGATTATTTCATATAAGAATGTATGTTGTTCCAAATAGTAATAAACAGTCACAGCTCAAAATGTGTTTGAATATCTATGTTTTTGTATGTATAATCTGAGTTTACATTATTCTAGTTCAGCGGTAACCAGCAGTTTAAGCTTTAAATGATGCCTGACAAATTAGCGGTGCTCACAAAGCAGTGTGTGTTTGATATTTGTTTCAAAAATCGTATTTAACACTATAGAAAAAAAAATCATAATGTAATAAATAATTTATTTATCTACTTATTTATAATGATCACAACTATAATTCGTCTTTGGTTAAAATTATTTCATCTTCATTCGTTTTTTCTTCTTTATTTGTCCCTTCCTCATCTAAATGCTCTTTGATCATGTTGACGAGATTGTCAAGTGGCTTGCTGCCGTTTTCTACGCTGACTATTTTCTTTTGTTTGTATAAAATTAAAGTAGGCAGACCACTTATCTGTGATAGAACAAAAGAATATTTTTAGTGCTTCAAGAAAAAATATTCTATTATATCCTATTCTTTTATGATAAATCGGGTTTTTTTTTTATTTTTGTTTGAATTCATTCACTTTTTAATTTTTTTAAAGACTTATTGAACAATTTAAAAATTCTAATACTGAGTACTGACCTTTTCCATTTCACAAATATTCTTCGACCTCACGCAGTCGATGTCGGCGATCAACACTCTGCTCTCGTTCTGGAATTTTTCACCAAGCTTCAACCATAAAGGATTGAGTTGCATGCAATGTGCGCACCTAGAAATATACATTAGTATCGAGTATAATACTATAATAACATACTTATGATAATGTGTTAGAGGACAAAAGAAAGAACTAGTTAGTCAGTAAATTTCAACACTGCGACAAAAAAGTATGGTCAAAATGCCCATATGTGGGTGTTTAGGGCAGCTATTGCCATAAGCAGTTTACATATTGTCCATGGATGTAGCAATAACTTGGTAAAGATGGCATTTAATTGCTAAACACCAACCAAAAAGCCAAGTTTGAAATAGTTTATATAAACATTATGCAGAAAATTAATGCAGTTATATAAATACCATGGTGCAAAAAAGTTCACAAAAACTAAATCGGTTTCCAAAAACGTTTCAAATGTCTCCTCAGTTATCCTGGCAACTGGCAATGCCTTCTTTTTCTTCATAAATTTATCCGGATCGTGATTTTCAGCCAGAACCATCCTATCTACGTAAGCCTTGAGGTCTTCTAATGTATCCACTTCAGAAACACCCATCTTTAAAAAAAATTAAGACATTGTTGTACAGCGAATAGATTATTGGCTAAATACTGAAATAAACAAGGCCTTGCTTTAACTCTAAATTCTATTAGAATTTTGCCATACGTATGTTCGTAAGTGGCATTTAGGAAGCGACGTGTTTAACATTCGTTAAGCTAGCTTGAAGCTACATTCAAAGCAAACATAATTGTTTTATCAAAATAAAAACCCTACATTATTATAAATGTCAATATATTAGCACAGAAGAAATATGTAAAACTTACAACTCGTCCATTGAATATCCACATGAGACGTGGGTATTGTTTGATATCAAAGTTCTTGCAAGTTATCTCATTGTCCAGACAATTCACTTTGCCCACTTGTAAGTATTCACTGTGTGCAAAATGCACCGCTAGCTCTGCCCATACCGGTGCCAACCGCTAGAACCAAATAATTACCAACCTCCTAATTAAAAATTCCATTCAAAACATTTTTCTCATATAAAGCACAGATGTAATCACAGATGTCAGTGATTGCTTCACTATTTTGATGAATTTAGCCGGCCTCTTGGTTATTTGTATTTTAGTTAAAAATTTAAACATTAACATATTTAATTAAGAGACAAACAAATCTTTTATAGAAAGAAATAATGTGTAACATACTTTAAAATATAGAAATTATGGCAGGAAATGTATTAAATATCTCTTATTTTTGATATAACTTGAAACAGAACATGTTTTCAGTTGGCTTATTATCACTTACCTGTGATGTTTTACACCAAGGCATGTAGAACATAATAAAATGTTGGCCTTTAGATACAAATTTTTCAATGTTTTGGTCTGTTAAGTATGCCATGCCACTGTATATCTTAACTTCATTAGTTTTATCTGTCTCCTTGACCTATAAATATAGCATAATTATATACTAGTAAAAAGACAACATGTTAATATAAAAATTAATACTCAACACATTCAGTGCTACCAGCTTATTTGCAAGTTAAAGCAACAATAATTGCACCAAGAGTGTTATACAATATTTTCTAACATACCCCAGATTTCATAGCAAACACTTCACTAAGGAACAATGTCAATGACGGTAAATCTCTGGTACCCTTGTATTCAACAGGAGAGAATGAATTCTTGTGGAAGTACAGTAAAGTAGGATAACCTAAAAGTATACATTGTTTTTATAAATAAAATATGCACAGTGTTTCTCTTAATCAAGGATAATTAAAAAGTAGATAAAAAGACTTGTATGCAATAGTGAAAATTAAATAATATAATATAGTCATTTATACTAACTTACCTGTAATGTCAGTTTCTTGACACAACTTAGGATGCAGCGTGCAATCTACTTGAGCTATAGCGAATTTAGAATCTTTTGTGTTTATAAGTTCGGCTAGTTCTACCCAAATTGGCTGAAATTCTGTACAATGACGACACCTGGAAGGTTTTGAATGAATTTTGTAATATCACACGTCGGTTGACTTTAAGAGATCAAAACACGGAGTTTTAGTTACCATGGAGCATAAAACATTATAAAATTTCCATCCATATCTTCAATTTGTCCCCTAAAATTATCAGGAGTATATTCGTATATTGAGCCATCTTCGGGAGCTACAAAACGAGGCAAAATAAAAAATAATGATATCCAATAATTTAAATTCACAATCATTTTCACTTCACTGCCACAAGTTAGTTTTTTTAGAAAGTAATCGAAGCTCTTCTTTAACAATACAAGGTTTTATAATCATCAATAAATTCTGGTCCAAAAATAACACTATTTTGTCTTGAAATCAACACATCAATTGCTAAATGAAATGACAGTGACATTTGACTTGTGATAATATGACAATGTCAGATAGGGTCGTCCAGCATCGCAATAACAGAATTGTACCGGTTTTTGCGTGAGTGAAATTAATCTTTAATTTTATTTCTCAGAGAAAAAAATTATTAAAAGTGGTAATGTGCATCATATATCGCGCGAATAAACAAAGGTGAAATATTCAATAGTATCTCAGAAAACTCTTTTCCGATTTAAATATTTATTGCTTCATATTATTTTTTCCCATCTACACTTTCATAAGTGGTTAACTTGAGTATAACTTTGATGTTTTATTTATTTTTGCATTTGCGAGCAGGTATCTTTGCAATAATTACAATCTTTCAAAATAACACAAAATACGAATCGTAAACGTCAGTTTGGCGTAGCTTTTACGAACACACTAAAGAATGTGGTAATTCTTCAAAATGGTCGCTTTGTATGGTTTGCCAACTTGCATGTCTGTGTTTTAGAGTCCTTTGTTTTCGTAAATCATTAGATATATCGCAATATTTCTACGAAAACACGCCCCGGTCACTGTTATTTTGTGTATGCACGAGCGTTGACTTTGTAATACTAAATTGTGTTGTGGAAGAACGATGTCATCGGTAATGTGAGAGCACTCGACTATCATTTTTATTTTACGAGATTATGACGTCTGAGATTCTCCTTTGGATTTGCGGAGAGTAAAGGAATATCAAGTAACTTATTTGACTCCTTCTATATCTTTCATTCAGCCTTTTTATGATATTGTATGTGTAACAAAGCCGACTCTAATTTTGGCATTCCACAGCTCTGACAGATTTGATTCGTGTTGAGCATTCTTTTGCTTTGCTATTACTGTCTCCAATTTTTGATTTATATTTAATCATGTTATCATATTAATTTGCTAATTGCTTAAAAATCTTATTTATAAATTGTTTTGTTATTTAGTACACATCAAAATAAACAGTTCCCACATTCAATACTGCAATGTTTAGTAACACAAACAGTTACAAATTCTAATTAAAAATGTTTATTGTTTTATTTTCAGTGGTTCATTTGTGAAATTTATCTTAAGTTTCAACAGTACAAAGTTTTACAAGTAATAAGAGCACATCAAAGGGAGTGAATTTCATTGTGCTGGTGACAAAACATTTTCAAAAAGTATACACAATAAAAAACACAAATGCGAGTTGTAACAGCTGATAAGTGCAGCTGGAGGGGTGTGCTTATGTGATGGGAGGGGTGGGATGAAAGCTCGGCGCTCGGGCGCTGCGCCATGAACCCGCCGGCGCCCGGCAAGACGGCCACGCGCTCCTCCGGGTACCACCAGAAGGCGCTCGCCGAAATACGTAACTCCTTGCTCCCATTCGCTAATATCGGAAACTCTGAACCACCCGGTTCCTCTGCAGCGAGTACTGTGAGCTCTGGAGTCAGTTCTGGTTTTAGTTCATCATCTGGTAACGGGCTGGAAAAGGATCTGAATGTGCTGCCACAATCGCTAAATCAATTAATTGCTCTTGGCTATGAAGAGGTAAGGATTTTCTAATATGAACATTTGGAAAAGACTTGATCTAAATAGTAAACATTTTGATAGTAGAAAAAATTAAAAAACTATTTTTTTATTATTAAAATTCAGATTTATGTTTAGTATAACCTGATGATTTTAAAGGAATCTGTATGTAACCACTTCTATTGTATTTATTAAATTCTGCACAGATGAAATTGCCGGCAGAGGCTAGTTAAATTAAACATAGTAAAGAATATAGTTTTATATAAATATTAGGTGCTTGCACCTTAGCCCGCAGGTATATAAAAAATAGTAAAATAACCTATTTACTCAGTGATAACATAGCTTTTTAATAGTGCAGAATTTTTAAAACCGGTCCAGTAGTTTTTGAGTTAATCCAATACATCCAAAAATACAAATCTTTCCTCTTTATATTATAGATAATACAATTATAGTTCTCTTAAAAACATAGACATAACAAATTTATAGTTTTTAGTTGTTGATAAACTGATCCTATTACTTTCTTTTTATTGTTTAGTCTCAAAGGTAAGGTGATTATAAAACAAGATGATTGATTGTAAACTGCCTTCTATGTTGATAATCATTGTGAAACTTTAATAACATTGTCATCTGTTGCTAAGGATGAGCCTTATGTTACAATTTGTTTGATGTCTGGTAAATTGTACCTATTTCTTTGTTTTGTTTCCCTATAACTACTTTATAACTACTACCTTAACTACTGTAGTATAATGTCTCACGAAAGTTTCAATGATATTTTAGTTATAAAATTTCCAATTGTTTTCAGGACCCTGCGGTTAAGGCACTTAAATATGCAGGAGGTCGTTTTGACGCAGCTCTCGACTATTTGTCAAAACAACAGGAACCTCTCAATGGCGTGTTGAAGT